TTAGGGGAAAATGAATTTATGTCAATGGGCAGGAACAGATAAGAAAAGGAGGGTGAGAAAATCTGCATAGTTTGAAGAATGTAATAAAGAAATTTTTAAATTGGTCTATGTTTTGCTATGTTTATTTTCAACAATAGTAAAAAAATAATAAAGTAAATGCTGGCAAAGTGTGAAGAAACTAGATCACTCAAACATTGCAGGTGGGAATGTAAAATGGTATAGTCACTGCGGAAAATAATGTGTTAGTTTCTTTAAAAATCAGACATGCAACTATCATATAACCCATCATTGTATTCCTGGGCATTTATCCCAGACACACGAAGACTAATCTCCACACAAAAATGTGCACATGAATGTTTATAGCACCTTTAGTCATAATAGCCAAAACTCATAAACAACCAGGTTCAACAGGTACTTCCTGTGGTAACTTCCATACCATGGACTACTTCTTGGCAATAAAAAAGAACATACTACTGATAAGTGCAATAAAGGGGATGAATCTGCAGATTATTATGGTGAGTGAAAAAGCCAATCCCAAGAGGTGACATATGCTATGATTCCATTTTTATAAAATTTTTGAAATGATAAAATTGTAGTACAGATTACTGTATGTATGGATTAATGGGTAACAGGGTTTAAGAAGGTAGTGGGGAGCAATAGTGGAGGTGACTATCAAAGGGAACATGAGGGATCCTTGTACTGATGGGAATATTCAGTGTCTTTACTGTACCAATGTGAAAATCCCAGTTGTGGTATCATACCATGGTTTTACAAGATATTATCGTTGGGAGAAACAGTGAAGATACACAGGATTTCTCTGTATTATTTCTTACAACTGCATGTAAATACACAATTATCTCAAAATAAAAATTTTAATTACAGAAAAAAAAGGACACAGGAGCCAGTTTGAAGAGGCTCCCACAGGTAAACTGGGGATAATTTGAGCACCAAAATAATTAAGGACTGTAATGAATTGCAAATGATTGAAAAGAATAGAAATCCATGAGTACATACTCATGACAAATAGATAGACTGACAGACAGATGGGTGGGGAGGGTGGGGGGATAGGTAGGTGGATGGATGGATGGATGGATGGATAGATGGATAGACAGAAATAGATAGATAGACACACACACACACAGAGGACACAAACAGAAATACAGACAGATTGAAAGAGTTTCTGCTTACACTAAAAAGCAGAATGTAACTGGTAAATGTGGAGGAAGTACTGGAGTTAAATCATTTTACAACCTTCATGGTCTGGATTGTTCAGGCTGATGGGGTGCTGATGAGGAACAGTAGATTTGTATAGTCTTAAAGTGATTCCCCATATATTGCTTATTAAATGAAATGAAAAACTAGTAACTATTCAGGGGAGAAATCAGACAATAACTAGACTGGATGATCAAAATTAGCATCACCAAAGGGGGCAGATGGACATTGTGTCCCTGGCTGGTGATATCAATTTTGATAGCTCATCTCTAGAAGATGAGAAAACAAAAACAAAAACAAAAACAAAAAAAGGAGGTAAGGTGGTGTAGTGCCTAAGGCATTTGACTGCTACCCAGGAGGTTGGCAGTTCAAACCCACTAGCCACTCCTCGGAAGGAAGATTAGCAATCTACTTCCGTAACATCACCGATAAGGGGCAGATGACACTGTGTCCCTGGTTGGTGATGTCAATTTTGATAGCTCATCTCCAGTAGACACACCCTGAGAAGGGCACAATATTACTTACGCAGTATTCTAACCAGGAATGCATAAGTTGAGTAAGGGCTCATCAGACAAATCCAAAAAGAAGAACATTCTTATTTTTAAAATGTACATCTGTATTCTTCAAAAACATGAGTGGCATAAAAGACAAGAGAGACTGAAAGCTAAAGAAGTCTAAAGAGCCATAACAACCATATACTACAATAAGTGATCTTAGACCGGATTCCCAGAAAGTTCCTTAGAAGAAAGAATGGAAACTTAACTCACTTCCTTTGGACAGGTCATAAAGAAAGACTAACCACTAGAAAAGGACATCATGTGTGATAAAGTAGGGGGCCAAGGGAACCTCCCATGAGATGGATTGACACAACAGCCACAACAAGGGCTCAAACATGTGGAGCTGTGGAGCAAGGATCATGAAATGGCACAGAACTACACAACATTTTGTTCTGTTATACATAAGGTCATCATGAGTCAGGGCTGACTCACTGGCAACAAACAACAGCCTGGATTCAATACAAGAGGGGAAAAACTAACACAATCAAGGACATGATTGGGTCAAGTAACAAAACTGGGTATGGACAGTACATTAAACTATGATAAATCAATGTTAAATTTCTTGAAGTTGGTAACAACTGTGATTATGTAAGAGGATGTCTTTAGTTTTTAGGAGAAACACACTGAAATATTTGGGCATAAAAGAACATTGATATATGCAACTTTCAAATAGCTTAGAAAAAATACAATGCAAATGAAAATTCCAATGAAGCAAAACATTAATAATACCTTTAACTAAAGGCTGTATGAGTATCCTTCATACTATTCTTTAAGTTTCTGTCAGTTTGAAGTTATTCCCCAAAAAAATTCATTGGCTACTGTTACCAAGAACCTAAGAGATGTGCATAGCAATTAGGACTGGATCAGTTCTTAAAAAGTACAACAATTAAGAAAGCACAGACTTCTGAGTTAAGACATATTTGTGTTCAAATTCTGTCTTCCCTTATTAGCTGACTCAGACCTCATGGAGTCTCAATCTCTTCATCTGAAAAATGGGAGAAATAATGCCTACCTCATAGTTATTTTGAAAATTAAATAAGATAAGTCCTGTACAACATCACACAATACTTGGTATACTGCATTTAGCAATATTTGCTATTTTAGTAGGTTAATAGTAGTGGTGGTGGTGGTGGTGGTGGTACCCGTTGCTGTTGAGTTGATTCCAACTCATAGCAAACCTATGGGACAGAGTAGAACTGCCCCCATAGGGTTCCCAAAGCTATAATCTTTACAGAAGCATACTGACATCTTTCTCCTGTGCAACAGCTGGTGGCTTCAAACTGTCTACATTTCTGTTAGCAGCTGAGTGCTTAATCACTGTACCACCAGGGCTCCTTGGTGGTGGTGGAAGTTATTGTTGCTGTTGCTACTAGACCTTAGAGAGATATAAAGATGACCAAAACATAGTCTGTAACCTCAAAGGATGTGATACTTAATGCTATGTGTCACACAGCCTAAGGCAAAGGACTTATAAAAAATAGCATTGAACCACAAACAACAGGCTGTAACATAAGTACAAATAAAACATTACAAAGGCAGAAGTAAAAGTATATTTACTTCTGGAGAGTGGATTGGGGAAGATCTCACAGGGAAGGTAATATTCAATGTGAGCCTGAGAAGGTAGGTGGGGTTTCACCAGGTAGAGTCTGGGTGAGTAGTCAGGGTAATGGTGTTGGAGGTTGAGGCCAAGAGCTCAGGGCATGCCTGGGAAACAATAAATATTGCTGTCCATTTGAGAGAGGAGGGGAGAATTCAGAATGGGGCTGGAAAAGTATACCTGTGCCCAAGCTGTGACCTTGAAGGGCCTAGAGTGGAGCATGGAGAATTTCTACTATATTCCATGTGTTGCAGGAGAACCAAATGGGGAACTCCTAAGGAAAGGCCAAGCAAATGACTGCCTTTGGCATGTCTCTTCTTTTTTTAGTATGCCCCACCCAAACGGTGATCATGAAAATATTCAACAACAAGGAAGGCTGGCTGGTGCCTTGTACATATGTACACACACCCACACACACACAAAGCAAGGAGTTTCCAGGCCTGGACTGGAAATGCAAGCAGAGCATCTGGCAAGAACATCTGTGTCCCTGAAGGGAAGTGGCCAAAGGGATTTTGGGAAAGCTGACTGGCACAACAATCAGAACTAAGAACTGGACAGAGTCCTGGATGCCTCCTGCTGTACCAGGCATTAACCCTGTGTTTGCTGGATCACAGGATCCAGGAGCAAGGCCAGGGGGGCCGAGGGCACATGAGTAGCTCCGGATGAGTGGACAAAAGTCACAGAAGTATTTCAACATTTTAACAACCAGTGCAGGTGCTTTTCAGCTGAGTATGAGCCCTGCCCCTCCCACCCAGTCTGGCTTCTCTTCACCAGACTGTCTACCCTCAGCGTGTTTACCTCTGGCCTTTACCAGAACCCCCTCCTTGACCAGCAAAGCCACTCTGAACATAGGGCTTCCTAGCTGTACCAGGTGGTACCATCTATAGTTTATACTGTAGCCTCAAGCTTCCCTTTGTGGTCTAGGATAGGTCTTACACATGAAATTTGGGCTACTATATTTCTGTCTCAATTTTTGTGCATGTAATAAGAGAGGTGAAAGTTCTAATTAATTTTTTAAAAAGATACTAGGCTGATGGCATATGGTTAAGCACTCAGTTGCAAACTGAAAGGTCAGCAGTTCAAACCCACCAGATGTTCCACAGGAAAGAAGACCTGGAGATCTGCTCCCATAAAGATTTCAGCCTAGGAAACTCTATTGAGCAGGTCTACTGTGTCATATAGGGTTGCTATAAATTGAAATCAATTCATGGTCAAAACACAACTCTTCTGATGTTTATAACTTATTCCATGGAACTAGTTTGGTAAGATTCATGCTTTCCCTTCTCCCATTTACAGTAAGAAGGGAAAAGAATGTGTTTTTATAGAATATTTTCTTTTGATATTCAAAAACCTTTAACTCTCAAATTTACTGAAAAGTTTTTTTGAAAATGTGGTTGAAATTTAAATCGACAAAATGAAACACAACCATTGAACTTGGACAAGGAAAAGCGTCCATTTAGTGATCAAAATAATTTGCTGTTCATTTCATTTTTCACCATTTCTAATGTTACTCCTCGGAAGGAAGGTTGGGCAATCCTACTTCCGCAGTGATACTGCCTCGGAAACCCAAGGAGGGGTCGCTATGAGTCGGGGCCGACTCGACGGCAAATAACAACAACAACAATGTTACTTACCTCTGAGGCAATGGAGGTGAAGCTGCTACTGAAATGCACGTGCTTATGGATCTCGCTGCCATTGGCTGTCAAGAGCCAGTCCCCAAAGGCTCGGTCTTCACCAGCTGACTGGTTGCCATGGCTCTGGTTTGGCAGGAGCTCTGCTAGGTCCCAGTGGTATGATGGTGTGGCCCCAACCAGTGTAATGAGGATGGCCTCTGTGGCCACATAGAGCTGAAAAAGCAAACAACAAAACCAAGCACTGCTGTCATTCACTATATATGTTGAAAACTTACTTAGTCGGCTCACAAATCATAAGCGATCAGTTTCTTGTTTCCACGTGTTTATGAGCTTCAGAAATAAGAATATTCAGAAAAGGGAGAAAAGTATTAAAAGTCAAGTTCATGATCTACTGCTAGCATGTTGTTGTTGTTGTTACATGCCATCGAGTCAGCCCAGACTCATAGCGACCCCTCCTTGGGTTTCCGAGGCAGTATCACTATGGAAGTAGATTGCCTAACCTTCAGCAATTCCACTTGCAAAGCACTTGATACTTTTTCAAAGGGTTTTCATTTGAGATCTGTTTGGTACCGGGGGCCCTTGCACATGGATGGTGAGATGCAGCATGTCACACTTTTGGCTCTAATTTAAGAGACTCACATTCCAATTATTTCTTCCTCCACACTATAATTCCAATTATTTCTTCCTCCACACTATACCTTCAATTCAGGTAAGCAGTCACCAGAAGCAACTCAGCTTTGGATTCATGATCAAAACAACAACTATTTGTGGCACAGTTAGGTATCTCAGAAAACAGAGTAAATATTCACTCACATATATATAAAAACAGAACTCCTTATTAAAGCAGGTAACCATAATATGTACTTAAGTACCATTTTAAAATATGGTAGAGAACTCATAATAAGATTTCAAGAATTTCAAAGTCCCAGAAGTTGATATTCACTTCATTATCTTTAGCTGTACTTTGTTGTTGTTGTTATGTGCCATCGAGTGGGCCCCAAGTCATAGTGACCCCTCCTTGGGTTTCTGAGGCAGTATCACTATGGAAGTAGATTGCCCAACCTTCCTCCTGAGGAGTGGCTGGTGGGTTTGAACCGCCAGTCTTCTGGTTAGCAGTCAAGTGCCTTAGGCACTATGCTACCACAGCTTCTTATCTGTATTTTAATAATTGTTTAATTTAACCAGAGTTACCCACCCATGAAAAACAATATTTCACTCATTCATTCAAGAAATATTTATTGAGCACATATGTCAACTGTCACTGACTGTTCTGGGCTTTTGTAGTTATTCATAATTGGGCTTATAAGCTGTCAGGCCCTATGCACCTTTTTATGTTATGGATTTCCATATATATTAGCTCTTGTTGGATGATTACTTCAAGTTGAAAATTTATTAAGGAAACACAAAGGTTGCTTTGTTGTTGTTGTTGTTGTTATGTGCCGTCGAGTCAGACCTGACTCATAGCGACCCCTCCTTGGGTTTCCGAAGCAGTATCACTACGGAAGTAGGAATGCCCAACCTTCCTTCCGAGGAGTGGCTAGTGGGTTTGAACCGCCAGCCGTCTGGTTAGTAGTCAAGTGCCTTAACCACTATGCTACCAGAGCTCCCAACAACAACAACAACAAGGTTGCTTTAGAGTGAGAAAATCTTATTTAAAGAAACTTATAATTACTGAGATATTAATGTTTTAAAATACCTTTAAATAAAGTAAGTATTCAAAAAATATAAATGTACATGATTTCTCTACAGCTTATGTAACACCTCCACTGTATGGTTGAGTCAACTGAGGCAGAGAAAGGTGGAAGAACTTAACAACAGCCTGTATCTCCAGTCACAGAAGACTCACATCCAGAGGTTCCTTCCACTCTATTTTGTAGGGTATATTCAGTTGTTAAGTAGATAAGGTAAAGACACCCCCCCAAAAAAAAAAATCCCAATGACATACTAAACCCATTGCTGTGGAGTCTATTCTGACAACAGTGACTTATCACCAGTAGATGATAAAATTACACCAGTAGATGATAAGAAGTCATTAACATTGTGTCTGCCATACAAAAGCTAATGTAAAACCCAGGATATAGTGGCTTTTCCACTTTTAATAAGGCTGAGAGGATATAAGGTAGCCCCAATCTATTTTGAAGGTATCTCCAATCTATTTTGAACATGACTTGGGGGCTCTCTGGAGATGTACAAAGCTGCCATAGGTCCATAAGTGCAGTGGATTTGTCATAAAAGGCAAAGGAAAACATGATCCTAGATTTATATTGCTTCTTGGCCCCTATTTGTATACTATTAAAGAAGTTTGGGAATAGGATCACCTTATAAAAATAAATACCTTAATAATTACAAGAACAGACAGATGACACATTTAGCAGTCGCTATAAAGGTTTGACTTGACGGCACATAACAACAACAACAACATAATTACAAAGCGCCACTCATCTGTCAGTTTGTCATACTGCGGTGACTTGCATGTTACTATGATGATGGATGCTATGCCACCAGTATTTCAAATACCAGCAGGGTCACCCATGGTGGACAGGTTTCAGTAAAGGGAGCTTCCAGACTAAGACAGACTGGGAAGAAGGATCTTGCAATCTACTTCTGAAAACACTGGATAGTAGCAGACCACTGTGTGATTTAGTACCAGAATATGAGCCCATCAAGTTGGAAGGCACTCAAAATACAACTGGAGAAGAGCAGCCTCCTCAACATAGAGTTAACCTTAATGACGTGGAAGTAGTAAAGCTTTTGGGACCTTCATTTGCTGATATGGCACCACTTAAAATGAGAAAAAATAGTTGCAAACATTTAATAATTGGAACATTGAATGTACAAAGCATGAATGTAGGGAAATTGGAATTTGTCCAAAATGAAATGGAATACATCAAGATTGATATCCTAGGTACCAGTGAGCTGAAATGGACTGGTATTGGCCCTTTTGAATCATATAATCACATATATGGCCTACTATGCCAGGAATGACTAATTGAAGAGGAATGGCATCACATTCATCGTCAAAAAGAAGATTTCAAGATCTATCCTGAAACACAGTTCTGTCAGTGATAGGACAACATCCATATGTCTACAAGAAAGACCAGTTAATATGACTATTATTCAAATTTATGCACCAACCACTCATATCAAAGGTTAAGAAACTGAAGATTTTTACCAGCTTTTGCAGACTGAAATTGATTAAATATGTGATCAAGATGCATTGATAATTACCAGTAACTGGACTGTGAATGTTGGAAACAAAAAAGGAGGATTAGGAATTAGAAAATATGGTCTTGGTGATTGAAACAAAACTGAGAGATCACATGATGGAATTGTGCAAGGCCAATGACTTATTCACTGCAAAAACTCTTTTTCAACAACTTAAATGGCAACTATAGATGTGGACCTCACCAGATGGAATATACAGGAATCAAATCGACTACATCTGTGTAAAGAGACAATGGAGCAACTCAACACCATCAGTCAGAAGAAGGTCAAAAGGTGACTATGGAACAGACCATCAATTGCTCATATGCAAGTTCAAGTTGAAGCTGAAGAAAATTTAAACAAGTCCATGAGAGTCAAAGTATGACCTTGAGTATATCCTACCTTAATTTAAAGAGCATCTCTAGAATAGATTTCATGCATTGAATACTAATGACCAAAGACCAGACAAGTTGTGGGATGACATCAAGCACATAATAAATGAAGAAAGCAAAAAGTCATTAGAAAGAAAAGACCAAAACAGATACCAGAAGAGACTCTGAAACTTACTCTTGAATGCAAAGTAACTAAAGTGAAAGGAAGAAATGATGATGAAACAGAGCTGAACATAAGATTTCAAAGGGTAGTTCAAGAAGACAAATGCTTTACAGTATTATAATGAAATGTGCAAAGACCTGGACTTAGAAAACCAAAAAGAAAGAACACACTTAGCATTTCTCATGCTGAAAGAAAACTGAAGAAAAAATTCAAGCCTGGAGTTGTAATACTGAAGGATTCTATGTGCAAAATATTGAATTACACAGGCTGCATCAAAAGAAGATGGCAGGAGTATCAATCATTTAAAAAAAATTGGTTGATGTTCAACCATTAAAGGAGTAGCTATGATCAAGAACCAATGGTACTGAAGGAAGAAGTCCAAGCCGAACTGAAGGCATTAGTGAAAAACAAGGCTCTAAAAATTGATGGAATATCAACTAAGATGCTTCCACAAATGGATGAAATGTGGGGAGGGCTCACTCACCTATGCCAAGAAATCTGGAAGACAGCTTGTGCCAATCAATTGGAAGAGTTTATTCCAAAGGTGATCAACTGCAATGTGGAAATCACTGAACAAAAGGATTACTATCACATGCAAATAAAATTATGCTGAAGATAATTAAAAAAAGATCAGAAGGCAGGAAGGGATAGGAAAGAAGGACAAAGGGAAATGGTAACCACAGGGAGGAAGTGGGAAGAGTGCTGTTACACTGTGGGGACTGCAATCAATGTCACAGAACAAAACGTGTATGAACTGTAGAATGGAAAACCAATCTGCTCTCTAAACTTCACCCAAATCACAACAAAGAGTTAAGGGGCAGGGGATGGGGAGAGTTGCAGTAGCACATGGACAGGGAACTGACAGAAATTCAAGCCAGATTCAGAAAGGACATGGAACAAGGTGTATCATTGCTGATGTCAGATGGGTCTTGGCTGAAAACACAAAATACTAGAAAGATGTTTACCTATGTTTTATTGACTATGCAAAGGCAGTTGACTGTGTCAAATTATGGATAACATTGGGAAGAATGGAAATTCTACAACACTTATGCTTGTGAACCTATTTAGAAGCTAAGAGGCAGTTGTTTGAATAGACAAAGGGGATACTGCATGGCTATAATCAGGAAAGGCATGTGTCAGGGCTATATTCTTTCACCATACTTATTCAATGTGTCTGCTGAGCAAATAATCTAAGAAGTTGTACAATATGAAGCACACAGCATCAGGGTAGAGGAAAACTCATTAATAACCTGCAATATGCAGATGACACAACCTTGCCTGTTGTTGTTGTTGTTGTTATGTGCCGTCGAGTCGGCCCCGACTCATAGCCTTGCCTACTGAAAGGGAAAAGATTTGAAGTACTTAGTGATGAAGACCAAAGACTACAGCCTTCAGTATGGATTATACCACAATATAAAGAAAACAAATATCCTCACAACTGGACCAATAAACAA